AGGTCAAATGTATTTTAAAGGTATGATAAAAGTTTTTTTTTTTTCAATCTATTTTTTAAAATGTCTACTCTGGAGAGAATATAAACAGCCTAAAAAACAAAGTATGCATATCTATAACACATTAATACAAAATTATGTTATTAAATAAAATAATAACAAAACAAAATATTCAAGACGTGGTAAAGAAGACAGTTTTCTGATGTGCAAATTTTGTAGCTTAAAATATATTTATATCTTAAAAATATAAATATTTTAGTCTATATATTTTTACATCATTAGACAATAAGGTAAGTTTTGTTATTTCTAGCTTTTAAAATCAGGCCTTAAATTTCTTTGTCGTCCTATTCAGTTTTAGAAATTTCAATACTGTTTAAATCTGTGTTCATCGAATTAAAGCAACTAACATGATAATCAGCTCTATTGTTAACCGTTTTGGAGGTTAACGTTAGACATCAGGCAATTGTACTACTTCCACTCTCAGCTAAATGACACTGTGACTTTGTGTACATACAGAATTGAAGGTCGGGTGTTGCTGACTACAGATAGGTTCTTAAATGGAGGCATGTGAAAGGTGGGTAAAATATATTTATTTTGTACTACTATGCCTGGCATATCCAGATAAAATAAATATTACAGTGTATTTATCAATGATACTTTTGCAGCAAGGAAAATGAAACTTCAGCTAGACCTTGAGTTCAGTTTACAACATGAAGATCCTGCTTTCAACATCTGATCAACACCTGATTTTCATCTGAGGTAAAAAATAGATAAGTAAATGAAACATAATAATAATATTAATACATTTTTTCTAGAATTGTATATTTTGTGGTGTGGGTTTGTTTTATGAAATTCTCTCTTGTTTCTTTTTGCTGTTTGCAGAGTACCAACATGTTACAAATGAGAATTTTCCCCACAAATTCTTTGCAAAACTGGACCACCACCTATTTCATTTGATGACAATTTTAAGGCAAACAGCATCCAAAACTGGCAAGACAGCAGATACCCTGGCTAATCTTTTAAAGGTTTATGATGAGCAGGTATTTTTGGGGTCACGTGTTAAAGTATACATTAAAATATAATTTGAATTATTATTTTTTTTTTAATTTTTAAAAAATTGATTCTTGATTTCCAGGAACTGAATGATGTCAGTTCATGACGGACTACTGTTATCAGAGGTCTTTTGGTCTTGCTGCGTGAGCGTGACTTAAGATTCTTTAGGAACACCATGGTAAGACTTCATTCATTCTTTTCACAATTAGGCATGTTTAATGAAAAGATGAAAGTTTTGAAAACTTTTACTTAACATATTTGTAATCAAGAATAGTTGATGAATCATATAATATTGGCTTAGTCATTTTGATACTGTCCTTACATTAATATCCTTGAATTATGTTTTTAGATTGATAATCCTGCTGACTGAAGATGCTTTATTGGCCCTGCATTCACTGAGGGTCTCTGTTGTCCTGAAGAATGAATTGGACACCACCCACAGCACACTTCCAGACCTTTCTTGTCTTGTATGGATTAATGTATGCTCTTCACATAATATATAGTAAAGGACTTTGAACTTGTGCAAAAAGTTTTGCTTAGCATGGATGATGGAAAATAAAAAGTCTCGTAGCATGGAAACCTTAAAGAATGAGTTGATGTAGAGCTTTTTTTTTTTTTTTAACTTAATAAAGACTGTCTCTGGGGTAGTAACTTCAAAACATTTATTTACCTTTAATTGGTAAGTATGCATTTTATTATATATAGGGATAGTTTGTCCAAATGTAAAATTCTGTCATTTACTAACTCTTCACTTATCCCAAACCTGCTTGAATTTCTTGCTTCTGTTGAACACAAAAGTTAAGTAAAGCTGACAACCTGTAACCACTGACTTTCTAATAGGAAAACAAATACTGTGGAAATCGGTGGTTACAGGTCTCAGCTTTTTTTTTTTTTTCAACAGAAGAAAGAAACTCAAACAGGTTTGGAATAAGTAAATGACAGAATCATAGTTCAACCAAGACTGAATATATATATATATATATATATTGTAACGAGCGCACACATGCCACGTCGCCCTGGTCGCTAATTCAACCCAGCTGGACCATCATCAACACAGGATCGTTCACAGCTGGACGTCATCAAGTGGAGAGGCATATAAACCAAGCCCACGCAAGAGAAGATGAGCTTCATTCACCCAATGACTCCATGCGCTAACGCTTGTCTCTCTGTCTCTCCACAGCAGACTCCAGTTCGTGATGATCCCACATCCGACTACTCACTGTCCTTCACTTACTTCCCGGAGCACCAGAGCACCTCACCTTGAAGAAGAGCACCGTTTACACCCCATTCACGTTGTAAATAAAGCACCCTCCGGGGACTTGTCTGTAAACTTATCCAACTGTGTCGCTGTTTTCCCTCTGCCTCGCTACTATATATATATATATATATATATATATATATATATATATATATATATATATATGTATATGTATATGTATATGTATATATATATATATATATATGTATATATATATATATATGTATGTATATATATATGTATATATATATATGTATATATATATATATATGTATATAATCTGCGCTCCGTTAAACAGAAATTGGGGGAAAAATAAATGGGGGCGAATAATTCTGACTTCAACGATATATATATATATATATATATATATATATATATATATATATATATATACATACAGTTTCTGTGTAGTTTACACTAAACGAGTCACTTCACAGAATGTGCACTTATTATTTTTTTTAACGAATGCCTTAAGAGTAAGTTTTACACTTATTAATGTATTATTAAATTTTATCAAACTTATAGTTGTTTTTTCTTGAGGCTCTTATGTCTGATATCATATTCACATTGTGGGTAATTTTTATTAATTTCAGAATAGTGTTCATTTTCAATCTCTATGTCTAATAGTTTTTATCGTTTTAAGACATTTGTAATTGCATAGGAGACAAATTTGAAAGTACTGTTGGACATTTTTTCTTTAACAATAAATGTCTAAAATGGTATTGTCTGTGTGTTTTAAATTACAGATTTATTTTGACAGATTTATGGGGTTTAAAGATTAAAATAATGGCTAATTTTAATTGTGAAACTGACGATGGAGAAGTTAATTTTAAAAAATGCTATCAAAATGTATGAGCTGGGTGACTAAGTATGTAAAGGTGAGATAAATAATTCAAAATAAGTTAATTGCTATTAAAATGTATGAGCTGGGTGATTTAAGTATTTAAAGTTGAAAGAAATTAAAGCAATTAAGTTAATTGGTATTAAAATGTATGAGCTGGGTGACTAAGTATTTAAAGTTTGGAAAAATTAAAACAATTAAGTTAATTGCAATTAAAACGTATAAGCTGAGTAACTTGGGTATTTTAAGTTAGGTGAAGTGTCTTGCATGAGTACAACAAACTCAAAACTTAATGTTTCTGTTTACTTAAAATAGATAATTTCATAACTTAAAAAATTTGACGTAACTGATTACCTCAAATTTTTTGAGTTTTGTCAACTTATTCGGGATTACAGTGTGCTTTTGTGTGTTCATAGAATTCTGAACGTATACTGCTTTGACAACTTTGCAGTTTAGATTTAAGAAAACTAGCCTACCTGTTGTAAAAAATCTTTGAAAAATATTGATTCAAATATGAAAAAACATCATATTTGTATTTTAAAATCTTAGTTGGCTACAACATTCTTTTTAGAGTATGACAGTAATTCAGTATCTTGATTTGTTTATTTGATGATCTTTCATTTAATCAAAACTATTATTCACACACACGCACACACATGCTAATATAGTTTAATTATTAGCCCCCCTGTTACTTTTTCCCCCTTATTTATGTTTAACAGAGAAATTTTTTCAACTCATTTCTAAACAGTTTTATTAACTAATTTCTAATAAATAAATTGTTTTATTTTTGCCATGATGACAGTAAATGATATTTTACTAGATATTTTTCAAGACACTTTTATACAGCTTAAAGTGACATTTAAAGGCTTAACTAGGTTAATTAGGTTAACTAGGCAGGTTAGGGTAATTAGGCAAGTTATTATATAATGATGGCTTGTTCTGTAGACTTGAAAAAAATATAGCTTATTATATATCTTATTATATATCTTAGTACAGTACTAAGCATAAATTAATACACCCTCCTTATATATATATATATATATATGTTTGTTTGTTTATTTATTTATTTATTTATTTATTATATATTTTTTTATTAATAGAAATAAAATAAGAGTTTAATCTCCGAACATCTGTAGGAAACATAATGTATTTAAAATCTAATTACGCTAGTTATTAAAAAATACAACTACAAAAATTTTATATTTTTATAGTTCTCATTATTGTTTTGTTTATTAAATTTGTATTAATTCCCCCTGGGCGAAGCAGTGGCGCAGTAGGAAGTACTGTCGCACAGCAAGAAGGTGTAGGCCTAATCTATGAACTGTGAACTGTGACTAATCTAATCTATTTGCAGAAATATATTAATGTAAAGCATCCTGTAGAAAAGCATCATGTAATGTTTTTAAAAGCTTTTCTTTTAAAAACATTATTTTAAAAGAGAGATCTATGAGGGCTGTAGCATATGCTTCAGTGTAATAAAAGTGTAATAAAACCTCCTGATGCTGTTTTCATCCAAAGTTTTTACTATTAAAAAAGTGCAAAATGCTCAAAATGGCAGAATTGCTCGGATGGAGGAGCACGCAAGCATGCGTAGCCTACAAGTTTAAACGTTTAAACCCTAAACATTTTTAACAGCAGATGGCATCGACGCTCTATTGTAGTTTACACAGTTTAGTTCAGAAACCAAAGAACCGTCATGACTTTTCTGGCCTCTAGGTGTCGCTGTTTCTTCGTGATCTTTCATCTCTGATCTTCAGCAGGAACTGACGTTTGCGTCTACGACTACATGAGCAAATTTTCCAGCTGGAGGAAAATGTCCAGCGTCAAAGATCGGAGAGTCTGAAGGTGGGAATCGTACTTTATTCACACGCAAACTCTTTCTACGCGGTTAAGTTTATCCATCGGCTCTGCTCGTCCGTGTACCGGAAGTACAGTATGTTGTGTTTGTCTGAGTAGTTCTTCTGTTTGTTTTTCTTCGGCTTGGGTTTTCACTTTTTGTTGGCGCGTTCAGTGCGCCGAAATGCCGAAACATTTGCACAAACAGTGCCTAAAAGTTTCGAAAACAACTTTTTACGGGAGATATTTCGCGTAAGTGTTGAGACTTTGTCTTCTGGGATGTCTTTTGAGATTATTGTTTGAGCTGACACCAGTATTTGTGAAGAAATGTTAATATTGGCAGATTAAAAGATGGGGTTGTGGTAACTTGGCTTCTTTGGCTAAGTTATCTATATTTTACTGCATTTTGTAAATCAACTTTTATTTCTCTTAAATGCCTTTTAAACCGCATTTGCCTTTATTTATTAGTGAGTAGCTATTAAGGTACGTTTTTGTTGCATTTCTGTTTTGGCAATTTTAATCGAGCATTTCAACTAATGCCTCATTAACAGTAACGTTACTCAATGCAACATTTCAAAACAAGTTAATGAAAGTAAATGAAGAAACTCAAGTTCCTGCTGCACCTTCACTAACCCCTTTCGCAACAGTGTGAAGCCTGTAACTCTTCTGTATAAAGTAGGATTTATTATTAATTCTAATACAAATATTGTCAGTAGTGAGCCATTCGCTGTATTGAAATAAAAATTTAATTCTAACTATTTATGCAAGAATGTTTAGTGCATTTTTTTGCACATATACTGTGCTCAACATAAATTTGTACCATCCAATTTTGTAAATAAATATTTTTATCCATTTTCAAATTAATATAGGTCATATATTATGATGCATTTGAACAAAACAGATTTATTAGCAAGCTATATTTATTAAACCACCAAACCATCACCAAACATATTTAGAAATAGAAAGATGATACATTTTAATCCAGGCAAACTATTGCAATCACAAACTATAAGAATTCTATAATTTTTTTTTGTTTCACTTGAATTTTACTTTTTTTTTTTTTTTTTTTTTTACATTTTTGATTAATATTTTTCCCTGATATGTACATTTTTGGACCGTTATTGTAAATTATTTTGTTGGATTTGGCTTTAGATCTGACTAATCTAATGTATACTGTATGCATACAATATTGTATAGCTTCCTATAGAAGATACTCGTTTAAAATATTGATTTGTGTGGGGTGTACTACTACTCGTATATGCTGAGCACTGTATATTGTGGTCTTTTATTAAAGCATATTTTCTTTCTTCAAAGCTGAAATAGCATAGTTGATGTTATGTGTAATAATTTCAATATTGGCATGCTTTTCATTGGGATAAAAGCTCTTATGTGTGTCTTTTGAGTCAGTTTAATTGTGGTCGCTGACTAGAGTAGCAGGTTTTGTCTTGTTTTTAACTTTTGCCAGACAACTGAAATTGCAAAATGTGTTGATTCAGCAAGTATGGCTTGTTTTTGGATAACTTCCCTCGAAAATGATGGCATGTAATAGTTTTTTTCCTGCAATGTTGCGTCATTGTAGTAATATGCATGAATCATGTGCCTTGGGTATGCTAGCTGGATGAAACCTCTGTCCTCCAATTGTTTTCTGTCACGTAAACTCACTATATTATGTTTATTGTAAACAGGACATGAGTAATGACAGGTTTGACATAATACGAGTGGTGTGTTTCTGTAATTTCTCATTCATTTTCCCCTCTGATCATTGTTACCATCTTGGGAACAGTTTGTCTTCTCTTGACATGTTTTGCAAGTGCTTAGAAAAGCATCAGAAACCAACAACACAGTTTTTTTTCTCGAATTGTGCATTCTGTTTAGTGCTTAAAAGTGATGCACTGTGTTATTTGAAAGCCATATGCATTATATCTAGTTATTCATTTGTGTCTAGAGCGTGACTTCTGTACTTTGAACAGTTGCACAGAAGCTTGATGAATCATTTTATTGTGAAGTACAAAAACATATTTGTTTACTTCAGATATGGTTTGACAGCACAACACGTAAAAAGTTCTTCCCCGGGTTTTTGAATGCACAGATAAGTGATGTTTGTCATTATTTCAAGTGTGCAGTCAGGCATTTGGCCTTGGGGTTGAGAACCGTTCCCATGAGATTTTAACTGCAAAGGTTTGTCATTTTTATACTTCTAATATGAAAAAACATAGAATGAGTGACTAGGTGTTACACTCCACATCTTTCAACCATTTGATCTGTTATAATCATCTTAATCCTTTAACATGGCACCTTTTGTTCATAGGATTTCATTAAAACATAAAACTAAAGAATGAGTGGTGTCATGATCACAATTTAACCAAAGAAAATGTTTTTTTTTCTTTTTTTTAGAGGAAGTTAAAGGGTTACAAAAGAAAAACAGATCAACAAAATAAAGTGTCTACCATTACAAATACTCTAGGGCTGCACAAAATAGTTTTGCCATCAATATTGCAATGTGCTCATTTGCAATAGTCACATCGCAAAGATATGCACTGTCCAGTCAGAATTATAGGTGACCAGGAGCTACATTTAAAATGAATTGTATTTAATCACGGTATTTATATGGACTTTATATAATTTATGCAAAAATATTTCGTACTTAGAATTTTTGTCTTATTTCTAGTCCAAATACCTTCTTTCAAAGATGAAACAAAATTATTTCTCATACATCACTGGCAGATAATTTCCTTAAAACAAGCAAAATCTCTTAATTTTTACTTTTTTTTTTTTTTCTTCTGACAAAGTTTTTACTTGGACTAAGAATTTTTCTGATATTTGGACTAGAAACTATGGGCTGGTATGGGTTCTTACAGTATGATAACCTTGGATAAAAATATCATGGTTTTACTGTATTTTGATTACTTGTGACTTAAAAAGAATAAATTTTAGACTTGTAAACATTTTTCCCCCCTTTAAACCATATATTTTTATTTGAGAAACATTTAAAATATTTTGGACCAGTAATAGTCTGGCTAATTAGTTCAAATGAAACTTTGGATATCTTTTCTGCTGGAGATATTGTTGTCCACAAAAACAAACAAAAAAAACATAAATAAAAAAATCTTACACATAACTTAGGAACGGTATAGCAGAAAATTTGGGTGGTTTTAAAACCTTGACTTTTCCAAACCGTGGTAATATACCTTGAAAACAGTTATTGTCCCATGCCTACTAGAAACAAGACAAAACAAAATAAGAAAAGGATTTTTTTTTTTTTTTGCATTGTGATTATTCAATTTATGTAACCGAATACTGCTAGATTCCCCAGAAAACCATCAAATAGAGCTATTCAAACCATCTTCTGAAACAGTATTCATATTGCAATATTTATTGCACAAAAATTAAATATAGCAATATTAGAATTTTACAATATCATGTAGCCCTATTATTCTCTCTTGTTTATTTCATTGTATCAAAAATATATTGCTTACAGTAATACTATTTTTTTAAAATAATTTGTAATTAAATTTTTTTTAATTTAGCAATATATATATATATATATATATATATATATATATATATATTTCTACATTCTTTATACTCAAACATTTGGCCTGAAGTTGTAAAAATTCATAAAATGAGAAATATGATCATCTTATTGGATGCCATACTGATAAAACATGCCTGGTCTCTACTGTGAACAATGTTCTGAGGAGACCAACCCCTCTGGCTTGCATGCTAAATTCCTCACTGTGCACAATGACCTCAGCAGTGTATTGATGGTCAGACTTGGCAGCACGAATGTCTTTGGGAAGCAGATTGACCAATTTCCAATGTAGTTTGACTTTGTGTGTGGTATGTTGTTCTTGGAATATCTGTGTTTGGGCTGGACTGTATAACCCAAATCTTTTATTGCTTTATGAGTGATTTTTACAGTGTATGGTAAATAAGGATTTTATTATTATAGCAGGAAATGCAATAAATATCTATTTTATAAATAATTAAATACCATACTCAAGTTATATTACTACATGTTTACCAATGATATTCAACCTATTAGTCGAGCAATCATGCAGAAATTTATTTATTATTATTATATCACATCTGCTAATATTAATCAATGGACAGTTATATAAATAAATATAAATATAAATAAATTCATATTGTATCAACAGCATTTAAAGTTGCCAGATTAAGGTCCAATTAAATATGCTTTATTTTATTCTAGATTTCATATAACTGTTATTGATTTATATAAGAAGTATTACTAGTTTTATTGGCTATTATTATAATTAATATAGTGTTAAAATTACAGTTTTAGGAACACATTTAATTTTTGGTCATAATTTGATCAAAATAATTGACACTTTTATTTGGACAGGTTGTTATGGAGATTTTTTTCAATTGAGGAGGCGTGCAGTGATTGAACATGAAGAGGCAATACACATAAGAAGTATACAGTAAATACTAAGGGACTGTTTGTACTCAGAGAATTTAGTGCTTGAGCTAGAAAGGGAAGTTTTTTTTTAACTACAGGTGGTTTGCCAAGCCCACTCACCTGTGTAAAGCACACTTCCAAATGTTTTTTTTTTTTACATATGGAGTGATTAAAACCTGGTGCACGTCTCGGTTAAAGTGTCAGAGAGATGAAAGTGTGTTTTTTCTACAGGTGGTTTCAAGCCCGCTCACCTGTGTAACGCACTCAGAATTAATAATGTTTGGAATTGTCGTGTGCTGAAGTTGGGGAGACAAGAGGGGGTAATTTGGCTGTAGTATTTCTTAAAGCAAGCAGTAAATAAGGAAGCTCATTCACATGGACACGTATGCTACTTCATATTCAAATATTGTCTTTATGAAGGTATTCTGTGACTCTTTCATTTCCACATGACAGAAACCATAGTGTCCTAATAAATGTTTACATGCAATCGTATATCAGTTAAGTTCGTTATTATAAAATGAACTGTTTATGATTGGCTGAATTGTGTTTAGAGATGTTGTAAAACACTCTGTAAACACACTTTTGACCTCATTGCATAAGTATTGCTATGAAAGTGATGCCAGTTCTTTAATATTTTGTAAAAGAACATATTGCTTAAAACAATCTTTTTTCCCCAATAAATTATAACACTTTCATTATTGCAAATATATATGAGCTGAACTATTCATTAATACATTAAATATTAAAAGATTTATTATTTTATACATCAACAACCCGTTGTATTACATTTTGCATAACATCGCTAAATAACAAATTCTTTCTTGTCTCGATTCTCAGAAACACATCTGTTTTTATTTCTGTCACTCCACAAATCATCACTGTCACACACAATGTAAATCCTGCCCGATTTTATTTGTGTTTTAGCACATAATCAGTGAAGATTTGAACAAGGAATGAAAGTTTTGAGTCTTGAGTTTGCACCTAATTGGTTCTGTTTTAATTGCAAGCTGGCATGTCTCTGGCCTGCAGGGCACAAGGAAATGTCTGGTATGTGCTTGTAAGTGCCTGCCATTCATCCATTAAAACCAGAGTTTGACGCACCCTCGCTAGTCGCTTAAGCTAAATTATAATTTCCTGATGATGTTTTGTTTCCATAATGGATTTGTTTTTCATTTCCAAAATTTTAAGGATGCTTTTGTCAGAAATCCCAATCTTATGATCATCAGATTGCAGTATGGAAGATCTCCTTTGATCCTCATCTTTTATTCAAGTCTGAGTAGTTGCAGAATCAGCTTTTGCCTAATGGAAAATGTGTGGTTGTATTAATCTCATGTCGAAAAAGATTCATTTGTTTGATTTGGGACAAAATGCTGTGCTAGTGTTGCTGCATAATGGACTAAGTCCATTACCGTGAGTGATGGCTCATATTTGTGTCCACACTATTGTGAACAGGATAATTGATTGTTAAAAATAGCCCAGAGCGACACAGTATAGAGTCTATTGACTACTGCCATTAAAAGTAGCTTTACCAGTGCATTATAATTGGCACAGACCATGCAATGCATCTTTTGCTTTTTGAAACTGAAGTGTAATGTTCTCTCAATTTTCTCTCATAGGCACCTGTTGTAAAGTTCCCATCAGAACCCAGTGGTCTCCTCATGTACATCGCAAGGCAGAGCTGACACCATGGCCCACATATCCAGTGGCAATGGGTTTAAGTTTGACAGGCCAGCCTCTCCGGGGGTGGTCCGGCCAAAAGGAATTGTGGGGAAGGAAGAGGCTTTACGCATGGAGGTAGAGGCCTTCGATAAAATTAAGCGCGAGAAAAGGCACACACTCCCAGTCACAGCCTCTTCTGTTAATCCCCTTCCCAATCCAACAGCGCAAACATCCAGCAGCCGGCCAGAGAAAGACCTTATTGTATTCTGCGAATCAGAAACACAGAAGAAGGAGCAAAAAGACAACTTTGAGGACATCGATTTGGAGAACCTGACAAAGGAGGAGCTGGAAAAGCTGCTTCTGGATGACAGTTTTGGTGCAAACAAAATGACAAGACCTTCCTCTTTGCTAGGTTGCAATCTCAGCGCATCATATCCTGGCGGACATGCCTTCAACCCCTCTTCGTTCCACTGGACACCCACTCCAACGCATGCACAGACTCCCATCTTCCCCTCTGCTCCATTCGCCAAGCCTCCTTGCTCTTTCCAGAATGGCTTTAGTCCAGCAATGTCTCCATTTATTCCACCGACCCCCTTTCTCTCCTTTACTCCCATCCAACCACCTGCTGCTCTGGTCTACTCGCAGCCTGCCGTCACCCCAGAGATGGCCAAGCTGTTTGACAAGATTGCCAGCACTTCGGAATACTTGAAGAACGGCAGGTCCTCTAGCATGGAAACCGAATCGGCAAGTGTCAAGTCTCTGGAGCCCCTACCTCTGCCCTCAGAACCTCCTAACATCAGCCGATTTGAATGGCTGGACTTGGACCCTCTCAACAAGCGCAAGGAGGTGGAGGTCGAGGAGACACCTGCTGTTTCAAGCTGTCCTTTTATTGAGGAGTCTGGGAAAGCTAAAGACCCGTGGGATGCGGTTCTTCAGGATGAGCATGAAACTGTAGATAATGGCAGTCCCACCGCAGAGGAAAAGAGCAAGGCAACTCAACCCAGAAGAGCATCCACAGGGGCGGCTGTAACAAAAAGCCAATCCCTCAGTATATCTGCAAACTCAACGAATCAAAGCACAGGCAAACAGGTAAGAGCAAATCATGCTTTCTGATTATTTGAAGTGTTGGAAACACTGTTTAAAAGTGTTTACCACATTCTTTAGATTAAAAATGTAATTTTGTCATTTACTCATCCTTCTTGTATTTAAAACTGATTTGGCATTCTTTGTTGTGTTAAACACAATTCAAATCAATTCAATTCTAGTTTATTTGTATACACTTGTTAAGTGTGACCTCACGCGAAGCAGCTTCCATGTCCAATTGCTCTATCAAACTGTAGGGAAACTCAACAAATGCTAATAATAAACATTTACAAAGTGATGTAATACTTTCGAAGATCACAATCGCAATGTTTATACAGTTAAAGTCAGAATTATTAGCCTCCCTTTGATTTTTATTTATTTATTTGGTTTTTTATATTTCCCAAATGATGTTTAACAGAGCAAAGAAATTTTCACTGTAAGTCTGATAATATTTTTTCTTCTGGATAAAGTCTTATTTATTTTATTTTGGCTAGAATAAAAGCAGTTTTAAATTTTTTTAAACACAATTTAAGGTCAAAATTATTAGCCTCTTTGAGCTATATTTTTTTCGGAAGTTTACAGAACAAACTATCTTTATACAATAACTTGACTAATTACCCTAAACTGCCTAGTTAACCTAATTAACCTAGTTAAACTTTTAAATGTCAATTTAATCTGTATAGAAGTGTCTTGAAAAATATCTAGTAAAATATTATTTACTGTCATCATGGCAAAGATAAAATATATCAGTTATTAGAAATGTGTTATTAAAACTATTATGTTTAGAAATGTGTTGAAAAAACCTTCTCTACATTAAACAGAAATTGAGGAAAAAATAAACAGGGGGCTAATAATTCAGGTGGGCTAATAATTCTGACTTCAACTGTATATATCCATGCCCAGGGCTTGACATTAAAACCCACCGACCTGCCAAATGAGGGTAGATTTCAGCTGTGGCGGGTTAGACACCCACCACAACTAGTCACTTTGGCTGGTTGAAAATAATTTTGAAGTTATAGTTTTCTTAAAAGCAGGGTTTGTCAATAAGGATGGCCCAATATTCGTGCAAATGTGATCAAAGAATAAGAAGCAGCAGGACTGACAAAACTGTTTGGGCAATCAAAAGAATGCAGGTGAATACCAAATGAGAGGATGATCACTCACACACACAGGTGATGTGATGCGCGTGACCGTTTAAAAGCATGCACGCTCACGTTTACTTGTGCGAAGCAACCGTGCCTAGAGGAAACGTAACTGCTGCGATCGGTTCTCTTTGAAATGGAGTTATTTTTTTTTTAATATGGTTTAATTATTTATTTATTTTTTTATTTTTTATTTTTTTACAATAACATTGCTTTAATATGAGATTAATCTCACATCTAGTGTAGATAACTGGTGATCTGAGACCTTTACCCAGGATTGATTAATGTGTATATTTTAGATACATGACTGGTTGTTTTTTAAATGTTAATTTGTTTTTAAAGAAAAGTTTTGTTGAGTTAAAAGAGCATGCAATATTTTACTGCTATATTTTGCTTGTTTTGACGCATTTAAATTTTGTGGCTATAAATTATTTTTTATTTTTTGGTGTGGTCAGAGATAAATTTGGTAAAATCTTAATTTTGAGCGCTGAAAAGTCATGTGAAATAAAAACTTGCAATGAGATGCAACCTAAATGCTTATGCACATTGAGCAGCTCATACACAACACACACAAAAAGGGAAATGATGTTGGACATAACACAAAATCGAAATCATGTAATTTGCCAAAGTCACATTTATGCATATTACTGTAAATATACTTTCCCAACTACAAAATTTGTGATGTTTTAAGTCTACACTGTAAAAAATGCAGGGTTCCACAAAATTCATTCATGCTGTCCCAACACAAATCAATTAAGTTAACTTAACACTTTTAATAAATTTATGTGGAGTGAACATAAAAAATTAAGTTCTCCCAATGAAATCTCAAGAATTGTATTAATTCAGCTTATTAATAAAGTAGTTTGAACAAGCAAAAAATAATAATTTTTTTTGAGTGTACTAACCACAGTGGCTGGTGATTAAAAAAGGTAACGTCAGGCCCTGTCCATGCCTAATATCCGACGGCTATAAAATGGTAATTTTTTTTATAAATTGTTCAAATACTGGTGTCTGTAATGCAGAAACTCCAGAGACTGATGTGTACACCATGATTTTATATAAAATTCACTGTAATGTGTGATATGACTAAAAATCATATGGTCATGGTCATAAGCAAATTTTTTTCTTAATTCAAATGAGTAGCAACTTGGACCCAAAAACCGTATTTTATACGTCACCTGCTTTTACAGTGATTATTGTATCAAAGCAGCTTTACAAATGTGCACATTATTGCATTACAATCAAATTAAGTTAAAGTTACAATCAAATGTTAGTTATACAGACATAGTTAACCTGCAGTCTCATAGCATATAATGTAGGTGATGTTTGTGTACATCTTTAATAAAGTGTATTAAGGCCCAATCCCAATTCTATTTTGCACCTCTTCCCATTCGCCCTTGAAACAGAGTTTGATGGGAAAGCATTGTTTCCTCTAAGATTTTTCCAGCTGTGGCGGCAGGCCTTTTTTATTTTACACAGATCTACCAACTACCTGTTGCGTTAATTCAAATGACAAATATCGTGAGCACAATATTAGAAGTCAAGATCGCATTTATGTAATAGCCTACGAGCATGCGGATTCTTTGCTTGCGCGCAGATTTTCTCTGCTCGTGCACAAAACTTCTTGCACGCCCCCTCAACTATAAGCTGCTTTCACATGAAGATCTGCGCGCTCTCAAATAAACACTGCCAAAGTGCGATTTAGTGCGTTTATGTAACGAGTATGTCTCCAACATTTATTAGATTTATTAGGAATATTTATGAATTCTACAATACCTACAGAACGGTATTAATGCGTCCTGAAGTAAACGGGTGAAACGGGATGAAACGGGTATACGTCGTCACCTTGATGGGTTACACAAATGACGCACAGCACTACTACGGTTACAGAAAGGTTTGCGCTGTTATAATTCACTTACTCTTTAATATGTTTTGATGCGATTATTACCCGCTATTAAAAAAATATAATGTTTTGAATGAGAAGCTGTTATGTAGCCGTGGCAGGATGAATTTTGCCGTGGCGCCCCGCCATGGAAGAATGAATGTAGCGGAAACCATGGGAAAGGGCTTCAAATTTACCCCTAAGAAATGGGACTGCACTACAACACCTGCACACGTCATAGCGATCTCTTGCTTCATGAGATCATCGACGCTGACTGCTGTAGTTATTCCACTTGCGTTTTTTTTTTTTTTTTGTGCTTATCTTCAGGAAATCACTGAAGGCAACAATATTATGTTATCATAATGATATAATGTGGCAATGAGGTCCTTCTCAGCCACTAGACTTTTTTTAGACTGCTAGACTTTTTTTTTTTTTTTTTTAGTATTTTAGCGTTTTTTTTTTTTTTTTTTTTATAAAGCATGATGGTAAAACACAAACGCCTTTATGAATGTATTAAAACATGTGCTTGTTTGTTGTAAAAATTCCTGATAATGACAAAAAATACAAATTTGTGCATCTGCTGACTTTCGTGTGCAGCCATGCTACCATTGTGGCTGGTGCATTCAGGAAAATTTTCTTATCCCTTGGTTTCGAGTGTGGTCCTGAAAAATTGAGGGCTATCGAGCCCTTCTGCTTAGCCCTACGCCTTCAAACTAAAGAAAGTTGGCACAAGGGGTAAGGGGAAGGGCTAAGTGGTAGAATTGGGATTGGGCCTAAGTGTATGTGTTGCCCTTGATGGTTAGCATCATCTCTTCACAGGTCTTGGAAAAAGAAAAATACTTTGAAGAAAGCTGGAAACTTGTGCCCATTGGCTTTTCTATTATTTGTTTTTCCTACTTTAGAGACATCAATGATTACAGGTTTTTGGCTTTCTTCAAAATACCTTCTTTGGGATTCAACAGAAATAAAACTAATAAAGCTAATAAAAAATCCACTTTTGCTATTTAAAAGGCTTTGCCTCTGGTGCATGGTCTAACAGGGTTGTACTTATTCTCTTAATGAGTTATGAGTGTGTTTTGCGAATAAACATCTCTCATCTCCTATTCCCTTAAAGAGTCAGTTGTGTCGCGCCATGGCACAGTATTTACATGGCGGTCTTTGTAAGTGAAAAAAATGAATGCTTTACTAGCGAGAAACAGTTAAACAGACCATCTGCAGCGCGAGAATGAAGAATGAGCCTCCTCCAGTTGTCTTTTACTTTCACATTCTCTTTTTTTTCGTGGATATGAAAACAGCGTTGTACACTCCACTGAAGACATCTATTAGCCTACATATTTATTTTATTTGTTAAGCACAAAGATTTGTTTCAAAACTATTTCTAAATTCAGTTTTTTTTTTCCTGCAAACATATAAATTACCAGTAATCATGACGTGTGGTCAGAAAACTCAGTTATAGCCAAACACATAATAAGAAACTGGTTGCAGATTTGCACTTGCACTTTCAGGCTTGCTCTCTTGCGCTTGCACTCTCAGGCAACCGCGCTTCCTCTGCAAGTGACGTCATTTACAATCGACACCTGTGCCCTCTTGCATGAAAGTCTGCTGTTGCATCCCCGGATTAATAAAGGGACTAAGCCGAAAAGAAAAGTAATGAACGAATGAAAATATAAATATGCATATAATAAATAACAATAATAGGAATAACATTATACAAAAGCAAGTTGTCATAAATAAACTAAAAATAGCCCCCTGAGGTAAAGAAGGCATGAAGGCAGTGGTTTTTATATTCATGTAGAAAGTAACAATTTTTGTAATATTTTATTCCTTAATTATTTTTCATTTGTAAAGATATTTGCACATTGCTGTACATCCTGTGTGTACACACGCTAACGCCCTCTGCGCTGGACTTTAGGCCTGCTTTCAGCTGGTCTATTGCACAGCCTGTTTTACTTACTCAAAATAGCGGTGGACCAACAATGCGC